TCGGCATGATTGCAATCCGAGGGACGGTGCAGGGGCTGTCTCTTATACACATCTAGATGTGTATAAGAGACAGCTCTCTCTCTCTCTCTCCACCTTTCCTTTTTTATCTCCCTCCTTTCCTTCTATCCCTGGTACCTGTGAAAGGATTCATGAACCGCAGTGTCCCCAGTCTAGTCCCAGAGTCCCAGTCTCCCATTGCACCATATCCCTAGCCAGTAGGACTGTAGGGTAGAGACTTTAATTTAGATTCAGGCCATACAAAAGTCGGCGATAATTTTTTGTAGGGCTGGACTGGTTGGTAGGAGAGTCCCTGGAAGTCTGTCTGTCTGTCAGAGTCGGTGTCAGTTGCAGCTTATTCCGGAAGCCGTCAGTTTCCAGATTGTCGAAAGCCGGCCGCAGCTGCGGGCAGCGGGTCCGAACATCGCAATGACGAGTTGCGGCTGCAGTGGACACAAAACTCTAGCAGCACTCAGACGTCAACACGATTTGCATCCATGCTCAATGTGGAAGCACTGGCTCGGTCTTGTGCGTTCGAGCGACAACTGCGAGTGAGAGTGGGAGTAGTATATAGGGGGTAGACGGCGGTGCGCAGTGCCATAGAGCGAGGGAGAGCAAGAAGAAGATGTTCTGAGAGGACGAGCGAGGCCTGTGTGAGGGCAGTGGTGGGAAGAGAGAACACAGGAGAGAGAGGGACTTATCTGCATGTCGCGTGTGGGCGGCCATAGACAAAGATCCAGTTAGCTGTGTTGATTGCCAAAACTACTTTTGGGAATTTGTAAATCATGTGCATTTCCTGTGTGTCCGGATCGGTGTGAGACTTGTGTGCGAGTGTGCCATGCATGTTGGTCTCAATGCACACGTCTTTAGATAGAAGAGTGATGATGTCCAACAGGATTTCTTCCCCTCTTTTTACACAGAATCTGATCATTGCAGTAGTGTAACATATCAGAAAGTGAAATGCACTGAAAGCCTAGGATCTAGCAATGACGAAAGTGGCAACAACCAGCAGCATAGGTGCAACATTCACAAGGTGTCAATGTGCGCGACGCAAAGAGTGAAACAACGGGAAATCAATAACAACACATYYSTATCATCATCATCATAGGCTGGGAAGCAGCGCAGCGGRAGATCTAGTATCAAAGGACACGTGGACAACAACATGAAAGGGAGAAACTTSGGAAGGGCAAGACACCAGAAAGATTGCCCTTCCRCTCACACACATGGGGAGAGATCCATAGACATGCGAGAGAGGATCTCCGAATGTCGCACACAGTTCAATCCCAATGTAGAGTGTAAGTCCGATCTGAATGTCGTGTCCAATAAGGCAGAAGGCCGTGTCCAAACAATGTCTGCAGTTACCTCTATCTCTACTCTGATAAAGAAGAAGAAGAAGAAGAAGAAGAAGAAGAAGAAGAAGAAGAACTTCGGAGGAGTAGGAG